CAATACAACCCCATACTTCTGTTTCTAAGACTTCGAATGCATGTATATGTTGAGAAAATCGTAATGTTTCCATTTTTTTATAAACATAATAAACATACCGATCTGTATTTGTTATAATATATTGAATGAGACCAAAATAGCGAAATATACCGTTTGTGCCTATTTCTATGCTCATACCAGATTTAAATATGGTCCCATTAATACTTAACTTATATCGATATCAACATTTTATACTAAATGATACATTTCGTTCACTCTCTGTACTTTCATATTTATGTATAATAATTTCAATAGTTGATTTATAAAAATTGCTTACGTATTGTATTATTTTATGTGCAAGCGATCGTGATAAAGAATTATCCGAATATAATTTTGAAACAAATAAAGCAGCGTTTCTGGTTACTATATCATCAAATTTTTTTAACGTTATTGACGGATCGTTCATTATTTGTTCGCAAGCCTCTGTGCTTAATAAATCTTCAGCATTAGTGTACTTTTTAAACAAGTCATCAGTTATTAAAATTTCTGACAAATTATTATTTAGTGAATGCAGTTCAGATATAACAGAAACATTTGTATTATTTTGACTGGGATGTTTTAGCATTAAATGGCGTTTAAATGAATATAAATTTATGAAGGTACGCATACAATTGTCTTGTTTACATATAAAAGTAGAATGTGAGGCGTTGTGCACCATTTTTAAATGTGCTATGAGACATGTGACTGTTAAAGAATTATTATCGCAAAACGAACAGATATACATGTTATGGCAGATAATTATACAATAATCTCTTTTAATGTTTAGTAGTCTATGTAGTTAAAGGAATAAGTAATATTTTTAAGTAAAATAACTTAAAAAATTATTGAAATAATAATTAATAGATTGTTTTAAGTATAACATAAAATAATACATCTAATATAAAGTGATTAATTTGTCATGGAGTTGAAGTTCTTAATAATTGGCATTACATATGAAATTTGTTTATCATATTTTGTAGAAAACTTATAAAGACAAAGCTGCAGTATATACCAAATGTGCTCACTTTCTGGTGAATAATTAACATCAAATACATGAAATATTTTGAAACATAAATCCACTGCTTTTAATGCCGTTGTAACTTCATATAATACCTTATCTATGCAAACATAGAATCCATTTACATCTGCAAGAGTAAGACCAACAACTATTATGTACGGTTGTACAGTTAATCCTAATTGTTGTGCTCGTTTTACTTTTTCTTCCTGAATACGATTAATATCGCCAGGTATCTGAAAATAAGATCTTTTATTAATTTTTCGTACATGTATTTTTTAATAATATACATAGCAGTAATATATGCAAGATACACACACACACACATCGAAAACTTCTTACCTTTGCATGTACTATCATGCTATTTTTACATTCACTTATAGATGGTTTAAAATGTTCTTTTTTAATGCGAATTCTCCCTTTTGGAGGAATGAGATGAGATAGCAACAAAACTTGTATTACAACTTTAGCGTCTGAAAACATAGAAAGTAAATAATTTCGTGTAAATATATATACATTTTTTTGTAAACGTACCATCTGTTAAATCATCTGCATTGAGTAGAAGATGTAACTCGCTCACAATTTTTTCTTCTTTAACAGGACAAATTTCCTGAATTTTAGAAAAAAAGTTAAACCAATTCTTTATACAATCCTCTGATGTTAACTTGAGATATGTAAAATCTTCGTCAATCAATGTATGTGCTGTAGGATGTTTCAAAATAGGCCACTGAGTAAAAATTTCTTCAATAGTTTTATTTGAAGATTTTTGTATTTGATTTCGTCTGTGTGCCACAGTTACTTTCCAATGATTTTCAACTAATTGCCATGGTGACTGATTACTTTCAAGCCACAAAAGGCTTTCGCGAATCACAGAATCATCTGCAGAAACAAGAAATAGTAATAAATAAAACAGTAAAATATTTTTAATATATAAACAAACATAAAAAAGTATTTAATGTATATCATCGATTATTCTATCCATCTATTTATTATGTAATTACCTTCAAAGTCGCTATTACAAGCAGATGTTGAAGGAGATGTAGAACTGGTGTCTGTCAAGCTACATCCTGTTAGTTTTTTATAATCTCGTATTTTATTCCTATATTTATCAACCAGTTTACCACGTGATGTTATAGATTTATTATTTTTCGAGTGTTTCTTCGGTACAGGCGGAATATAATAGCCGTGGCATGTTTCTGTTGGAAATAACTCTTCAATTTCCTTGGATAATGCTTCAAAATCTTCATTTCTAAGTGGCCTACAAAATAATTACATAATAATATAAATATATTATTTCTTGTAAAACATTTATTATTTTATAATTTATATAACAAATTTACCCGTGAATATTATTTAAAACTTCCGACAAAATTAAATCCACAATATTATTTCGACATGGTCTGCTTAATAATTTTTGTTTCTCGTACGACTTCAAAATTGCGCGTCCCTGTGATGTGCCCTTTAAAATATCTTTAACAGATGGTCGTTGCAACTTTCTAAATATCGACGACGATGTAGTGGCTTGTTCATTCAGAAATGAACGATTTTCTTTATTGGTAGAATCTTCATCTGATGAACCATTATCGTGTGCAGAAATAATATTTTTATCTCGTTCCTGTAACATATATTTCATACCAAATATATGTAATTATATTATATATAATTTTACTTTTATTTTGCATATTAATATTTATTTAAAATTTTAATAAATCTCACAACAATAAAATGTGTACGTACAGATGTTACGTTTTCAGTTGTTTTAAAATGTTCTTGCCATTTTTTACGAAATTTAATTCTTAATCCGACTTGCGGAATTAATTCCTTCATTAACTCCGGCGTTAAATTAGCCATACATTCTTTGTCGATACAATTTTCTGTAAGTATATATAAATATTTGTCTAAGTATGTTATAGATAATATGCAATTACAGATATTTCGCAGATATATTTTTTCAAAAATGCACTGAAAACCCATTTCGTTGAATCAACTAAATCCTTGTTTGGAGATATGGGCAAACAAATTCTTTAATTAATATAACAAAAATTTGTTTCACATGACAAAAAATTTAGTTAACATATATAACAAACATTTTTTAACATAACTAAATTTTTTGTTATATGAACCAAATTTCTGTTATATTAACTAAAGAATTTGTTTGCCCATATCTCTCTCTCCAAACAAGGATTTAGTTGATTCAACGAAATGGGTTCTCAGTGTGTATTAGCACACGTTGCTTACGTCGCTTTGTTCTGAATGTCCAGGTGTAGAAAATAAGTAATCTTTTTGCACACTGTTGAGGATTGTATGACGACGTCTGAGACAACCTTATCGTTAATTACTCCCGCACTTCGTAATTAAAACGTAGACGTTATTGCGCGAGGAATAGTCTCGTTACCTATCGTGATTCGGATAGGTCTCGATCAAAGGTCCGTCGAGCTTGAACTGAGCTCGCCGGATCGTCGCACAACACGCGAAATTCCAAATTCGGAAGCGACGCAAATATGCGGAAGCATGGCATGGCCCGCGCGTGATCCCATTGTCGGGGACGTGTGTACGCGTGCCATGATCGACTTACACGCTGTAGTCGTCCGAGAAAATATAAATATAACTTAAATTTCAGAATCCGGAACACACACGAAGAAGATACAGACGCATTTCCCGCGTGTAAAAAGATTTCTCCTTTTCTATACATTGGACATTCATTTATTTCGTTGCGTTGACCGAAGATATACAGCTTACGGTACGGACGTTCTTGTGCAGAGGTTCTAATTAATTATATTTCCGGTAAAGCAACCTTCTACAAATCTACTTCTGTTCACAAGTCCAGATAAAAAACATACAAGATAAAACTGTAATCTTGAAGAAAGATATAATTATTACCTTTGAAATGATCGACGAGACTACCTACGTCCCAAGATTCCAATAAATCTTTTGTGAAATCGTCCATCCTTATCCTTACTATGGCACAATTTAACACGCACTTATTCAATTTATGGACGTCACTGCACGCACTTACGAAGCACAATCTGCACAATGCACGAACGGCGCGATTAGTGATGCTAAAAACGGGCCTCAACAACGGCGATAAAGAACGCATGCGGACTCTCGACTGTTTACTCTCGACCACAACACGACCGTGCGGGTGCGCGCGTGCCACGTATTACTACGCGCGCGGCGCGCAACGCACTTTTAGCTAACACGCACGCCACCACCGACTAATCAGGGCTGCATTCTGATATTCACTGTTAGTACTAAAAATTTATATTTTTCTATATTTTATGTTACGTATACTATAGATTTTCAGTACTGACAGTTGCTGACAGTAAATATCGGAATACAGTCCAGGTCACGGGAAATCTATGCGATTCTATTTCGCGCAGATGCCTGATGCGCTCTTACGCGAGCGGAGAGCAATCACGCACTGAGAAAAAAAATTGTTAATCTCAAGAAATATTTAGTCCGATACGTTCAACTAAACATTTTAGTTAGTTAACTAAACATTAGTTGAATTAATTAATTCTTGATTAAAGAAACGCAATAAATTGTAGAAACAACTAATATTTAGTTAACAAACTAAAATGTTTAGTTGAACGTATCGGACTATATATTTTTTGGGATTGACAAATTTTTTTCTCAGTGCGAGCAAAGAAGCCACTGCGCACACAACTATACTCGCAACATATACATTTGATTTGATCAATTATATATTTCTGCAGAGCATATGGTATGAATATTAATAGATTAAAGTATTTCGTTTAACCAAACTTGTTAACTAAATATTATGCTGATTCAACAAAACCGCTTATTAAGATGATAAAAACAGTTTTCTCTATGCCAATATATTTACTTCAATGAAATAGCTACGTCTTTTTAAAGTAACTAAATATTTCATGTATTTACATGACAAGGACTATAATCAAGGATTATAATTGTCATGTAAATACATGAAATATTTAGTTACTTTAAAAAAACGTAGCTATTTCATTGAAGTAAATATATTGGCATAGAGAAAACTGTTTTTATCATCTTAATAAGCGGTTTTGTTGAATGAGCATAATATTTAGTTAACAAGTTTGGTTAAACGAAATACTTTAACCATTAATTTAATCATGTCATATGCTCTGCAGAAACATATAATTAATCAAATCTAGACTATAGTGCAGTAGAACAAATCAATTAGAATACTTGATGTAATTATATATTTTTTTCATTCAATTTGTTCTTCTTTAAATAAATAATAACAGGTAACTTATTTGAACTAACAATGTTTTTATCTTTATACTCTCTATTTTTATATTAGTATATGTATGTCAAATAAATAGCTTTGTGAAATGGATAATCCTTGTCATGTGAATACATAAAATATTTAGTCGCTTTAAAAAGACGTAACTATTTCATTGAAGTAAATATATTGGCATAGAGAAAACTGTTTTTATGATCTGAATAAGCGGTTTTGTTGAATGAGCATAATATTTAGTTAACAAGTTTGGTTAAACGAAATACTTTAACCATTAATTTAATCATGTCATATGCTTTGCAGAAACATATGATTGATCAAATCTAAAGTATAGTGCAGTAGAACAAATCAATTAAAATACTTGATATAATTATTCGTTATTATTTATCTGAAGAAAAACAAATTGAATGAAAAAAATATATAATTAGATCAAGTATTCTAATTGATTTGTTCTACTGCACTATAGTCTAGATTTGATCAATTATATGTTTCTGCAGAGCATATGACATGATTAAATTAATAGTTAAAGTATTTCGTTTAATCAAACTTGTAACTAAATATTACGCTCATTCAACAAAATCACTTATTAAAATAATGAAAATAGGTTTCTCTATGGTAATATATTTACTTCAATAAAATAGCAACGTCTTTTTAAAACAACTAAATATTTCATGTATTTACATGACAAGAATTATCCATTGCACAAAATCATTTATTTGACATAAACATAAATAATGTTTAATCAACCAAACTTACCATTTGTAGAATTTATTTCATCTAACATTGTCACTTATTTCAATTGATTATAATTTTATTAGTACAATAAAGTTTATGATTAATTGAATTAAATAATTTAACAAAATGATTTTGTTATTTCAAATGACAAGAATTTCTTGATATTACTCACGTATATTTGATTTAAATATATTAATATTTGCATTAAACAAATCACTACCAACTAAACGAGTTTAGTCAAATTAACAACATTTTTTTCTCAGTGCAGGAAAGACGTTTTCAAGATAGTTGCTTGAAGCTGTCTCAGCAAAC